CCCCCCCCCCATGCTGTCTTTGTAAAGCAGAGTGTAACACTGATGGCTTTTATTATCACACTGCATTTTGAAGCCCCCTGCTGCCTTAATTTCTTTCTGATTTTTCTGATGTTGCTTACTTTCTACTTCTCTGTTGTATTAAATTGCTTTTTCTCAAGAGAGATTATTTTTCCACTTGGGATGTTGTATGGTTGGTTGCTTTTTCTTTAAACTCTTCTGTGTTGCCTTTGCCCTTCTTTGCCCTTCTTGATGATGATGGTGCTCCTTGCTTAGGTGTTTACTGTTTTCTATATAAATATTGATAATACTAGACCATATACCATTATCTCTGCTTTTGTTCACAGCTTCTCTATTGCAGTGTATATTCTGGTTTTACTGCTAATGTCTTTTTTTCCCTAAAGTATCCAATAGAAGCGTGAAGCCCACTGATAGTAGTGTGGAGATGAGGCCATTGGTAATTTGTAGTTAACCAGTGCAGTTATTCCTTTCATGTAGTCCATACATATCTTCTGCTTTTGTGTACAGGAGGCTTGGTTCTGTTACCCTGAAGGAAGTAGGGGAGTTCTACTGATTTCAGTTGGGAGTTGGGTCAGGCTTTAATTATGTAACTTCCCAAAAGTTGTTTTTGCTTGAGGAATGTGATTACTTATGCATGCGTTGGGGTGGAGCAACTTAAGTTGTGTATTTTAGATGTTCTTAAAAATGTGTGCTGCTTCAGTCTTTCTTTGCTTTCTAGGATGAGCCAAGTTCAGAAATACTATTTACAGGAAAAGCTGTAACTAGGTATGTATCTTACTAGAATTGAAAATTCAGACAAGTTCCCCAAACAGTACAGGCCTTCTGTAAATAATTCCATGAGCTTTGTAGGGGTTTATGTCTCAGTGTTTCCAGAATTCAAGGCTAAATAATAATGTAATTTTAAAACATGTTTGATAACTTGGCCTAAACAAGTTGTTAACCAACTTTAAAAAAAAAATAAAATCATTAGTATATTGAAAGAGTGGTTTTAATTTTTCTAAGACATAAACTAACATTTCTGAATAGTTTCTAGCAGAAGGATCTCAGTTCAGTTACATGTTTAAGGATGGTAAATACTTTTGTCTACACTGCAGTCCTGATAGAGGGCTGTTGTTTGGCTGAAACACTTGAGCATTTTACATGTGGATTTTGGTAATAATGGGTACTTCTTGTAAATATAAAAGGTTATTTGGTGAACAATCATATTTGAATATGATTATATTCTAAAAGAGACTTTTAGTAGGGTTCTATGCTTAAATATTTTTGGCATGTTGAATAAATCTTGTAATTTTGGAACATGACAAGCTTAACTAGTAAGAGACCGTACAAGGGGAGAAAATTGTGATTTTAGAAGCATAATTTAGATGAAAATAAAATGTTTTTAATACATTACAATTTTTGTTGAATGCTTTCTTTGTAGTATTGGATTGTTTACTAGTAATGAGTTGCATAAAGGAAGAATGCCTTTTTTTATTGACTCAGGGGAAGAGTTGGTGAATAGGAGGAGAATCACTGACCTAACACCTTTCATGCAATTCAGAGACTGGGAAAAAAAAAAAAAAGCTGGAATTATTTTTTTAAAGGAACTTAAACACTGGCCACCTGTGCCATTGGAACTAATCAGAGTTAGGTATCTAACTCTTTCAGAAGCTTTGATCTTGATAGTGGGTTACTGTAATGAGCAAGGCCTTCACAATGAGAAGGGGGAAACAGACCTCATGAGGAGGAAGAATTCAGAGTTCAGTCCTACCAGATAGTGTAAATATTAACTGGTAGGCTGTTTTCAAGTATTTGGAGATCATCCCTGATGTCTTGAGTTTGTAGTTAGTGAAGAAATGGCCAAGGGAAACTGCTGCTGTAAACAGAATGAGGAAGGAGGTAACTACTTCTTAAAATTGCCTTGTTGTTTATGTTAATGTGTAAAGAATAAAAACATATGCCTGTACTGGTGAAAAATGTGAACTAATCCTGAAGAACAAGACCTGCTACTTTGAATGAAGCTCTAAGCAGCATTTAGACAACTAAAGCTTCAGGTCTGCTGTTCCTAGATGATATGGTTGTCCTCTACTAGTCATCTTGTGCAATAAAATGCGTTTATGTAATATAGAGAAGCCTGTAAAATTGCATTTTTCATGGCAGTTTGCTATTTGATAGCTTTTGTAGCTTTCATCTGAAGCTAACTTTTCTTAATCTTCCACATGGGTCATAGTGTGAATTTAGAGATTCTGTCTCATTTCAAGACAAATTACATAGTCAAAATTAAACGATTGCTTCAGTGTTTTAATTCTTCTGAGCTCTAAATTGTTTAATCCTATTTATATTTTGCTTTTGTAATTCCTTAGTACTCTTTGTTTTATCTCTATTACCAATCTGTTTATTGACGTATAGCCCACTTCCCTCCTGCAGTGACATGTCTGGTCGTCCATCAAGTCTCAGGCAGATTTTGATCCTGTAAGGGTTTGGCTGTCTTGGCAGAGCCATGCTGTGGTTACACTGCGTGTTGTCCATACGTTGCTTATGTGATCAGGAAAATCATAAATACTTGTCAATAAATTATCTTCTAGGGCTTGCTGGAGCCCTTTTCCACTCTTAGTGCCTTTTATCATGCTGCAGCTTCCCGGGGTGCCGGCTCCATATCCGTGGAGGACGCGAGGCCTTGGGCCTGTCTTGCTGTTCCAGCTTGTCGCGCTCCATGATCTGGTCTCTAGCCATGGATAGCTTGGCAGCGTGTATGTGGGAAAATGTTTCCTATTGTTCTGTGATCTGTCAGAATCCTGGGAAATTGATACACGAGTAATGCTGAGATTTGACTAAGGGAGGGAAGGGCATGGTGCTCCTTATGTGTATTTCCTCTTGAAAGGAAGAAGGAAAGGGAGACAGTGCAGTCTTCTCTCTCTCTCTGTGGGGTTTTTCTGTAGCTGTGCATCTGCAAGTGCATACTGGTTTGAACTGTATCATGTGAATTCGTTGCTATCTTGTGTGAATTAGTGTTTTCTGTCCTGTAGCAATATCCATGTAATCTCATTGCCTCCATTCTACCTCTTCTGCCTGTTTTTCCACCAAGTCTCCAAAATTTGTGCTTCTGGCCTGCGAGCATGCTACTTCAGGTCATGGCATTGTGGGCTTAATGGTTAAGTTATGGCCTGCCCCTGGGTAGGAGTCATCTGGATGAGCATGGGATTGTCCAGGAAGTGGTGATGATTTATTGGGTTGCCTTTCTGAATATGAAAATATATGGACCTCAAAAAGCTAAAGGAGTTTTTTTGGGGGTGGGGTGTGTGTGTGAGAGTGAAACTGAGATTCTGAATGACTTTATCAAGTCTTGTGATACTTGCCCAAAACCTGGTTTGTTTGCTTGTATGGTTTGGATTTAGGATGATTAGCTTTCCTGACCCCTGCAAACTGTGGATCTTTGCTTGATGACCGAGGGGCATATGCTGCTAATTTTAGAGCTCTGGGAAAGACTAAGACTGGATCATGAAAAACAAACTGCTCAGATATCCCCAGCACCTTCATTTCAGATGTCTGAGCTGCATACACAGCTGTATTTTTTAGTGAAGTGGTGGTACCTGCCCCAGCAGTCCCTGATGGCTTGGCTTCTCCCAGTTTTGTGGTTATTTACTCAGTAGACCTTGTGTCAATACCATCTTGATGCTTGTTGCCTGATGTAGTCGGTGATCTAAGAGCTGCAATTAAAGTTTTTGTGGGCAACACATCGCTCTTCAGGTTTATGTATTTTGCAGATGCCTCTAGTAGGAGTAGTGGGGAGCCATGCTGAGCGTTGTAGCAAAACTGACCATCTTTGTTTCACCTTACTGCTGCTGGGGGTAACACTGCAGTAATACAGTCATTTAAGCTATTACACCTGCAGAATCCTGGGGCAGTCACTGTCATCTGTGCTGTATCAGTGGCAATTGAGAGGATGAGGTGATCTAGGAAAACTGATTTGCTGGCAGTTGTGTCTGACCATGTCTTTAAAATGTGACAAAGTGTCTGAGAGATTCAGTAAAGAGGAAGAACTGCTTCATACTTGTTTGAAGTTTTTTTTCTATTATGTTCCTAAGCAAACTTCTTGTTCAATTTTCCTGTCCTTCTTCACAATTGGTGTTCATAATTCTTTTTTTTTTTTTAGTACCTCAGCATGGATAAGATGCATTTTTCGGTTTATAAAATGTTCTGTGACACCTAAAGACCATGTGCCTAGATAGGACCCTGTTTGGTTGTCCCGTATAGGATATATCTATATGATGCATAGCAGAGACATGCTAGAAGTCTGACTGATAACCAGTGTGTAAAGAAAATAAATTCATAGCAAAAAAAAAAAAATCCACATTCTTTATATCAGTGCTTTATATGGAGGAACTTGCTGGTATTCTCAAGTTGAAATCTGTGAGGAATACTCTCAGACTGTCGAGTAAAATAACTAATAAATTGCCACTAGAAAGTGAAATTCACCAATATCTCTGAAGGAACTCAAAATTGTTCAACTTGTAAATATGATGTCACTATCTTAACACTTCATGTACAACAAGAGTAGGTGTTAGCTTGTATAATACCATTTTTTTAAAAGGGCTCCAGGAGAGGACCCAGGAACTGCATGGTTCTTGACAAGCTCTTAGTAAATGAATAAAGGTCATCTGGATTATAAAATTTTTGGATTTTTCAGAAATTTTGACAGAGCCTCTAACCAAAGGTTTTTATTGCATTATAGCGCAGTTTTTCAAGGAACATCTTAACAGTGAATTAATAATGAGCTAAGGAAGAAACAAAAGTGCCCAGACAATGATAGAAAGTCTGTCTGCTTTTGTAATAGGAAGTGGTTATTGAGAGGCACTCTGCAATTGCTATTAAGTATGTTGTTCATAAAGCGATCTGGGGGAGTGAATAGTGAGGTGACAGTTTCATTCTAAAGCTGTGGCAGGATTTTGTGACAGTAAAGGAGTATGTAATAAGATGGTAAAATGAATTAATTGTCAATAAATGCAAAGCAATGCCTGTGCTGAAAAGAAATTACTGCAAAGATGATTACACAGTAAAAGTTTCTAAATAAGTTGTCACTCAAGCCAGAGGTCTTAGAGCTGTCTGTAGGATCTTTATAAAAAATGTTGGCTCAACAGTAGCCAAACTGCCAGGCAAAGTGAGTTTAAACATTTTTAACTTTCTAACTACAAAGAATAAAAAAATCAGTGTGAACTTATACTGTACCTGTTGCTTGAATACATTGTTTGAAGGGGAAAAAAAAAAAAAAGATATGAAGGCATTGTGCAATGGCTGCATACAGGGAGACTGGAGTAGGGCTCTACTGCCTACAAAGAGAGGTGGCTGAGGGATAGATAAAATTAAAGGCTGTAAAATCATAGATGTCAAACTCAGTTAATAGGTGATGAGGACTTCCTTTCTCGTGGTGTAAGAATTTAATTTAGTATCCCTTACTTGATCAGACAGCAGGTTTAAATTCCATTTAAAACTATCTTTTGCTTTATAGTTAAACTGTGCAAATTATTACTGTGAGTGTGAACAGGGAAAAGGTTGTATGCTTTCAGAAAGTGGGGTTAATCTGTTCTGGAATGTTTCTGAATTTAAGTGTTCTCACGTCCAGAGTTTCTTCACATCTGCAATAGCTACTGCTTACACTTGCTTGAAATGTCTGAAACTTAAAAATGCAATGAGATTTCCAGTGTATTAGCATGCAGAACAATCTTAAGGTCAATGAAGGCAGAAATCAGATACCTGATGTAAGAATTTCTTGATATTAGGAGAACACT